GAACTGGATACACTCTCCAAGTCTGGCATCGAATTACAGTCGCTGACATCGAAGTCTTCATTGTCTGAGGAGTCTGTGACATCCTCAAGGTCTGGCATCGATCCATAGTCGCTTTCAGTGTCGATTTCATGGGGGGAATAATTAGGAAGTGAGTCGTCCATTTCTGTGTCGAGTTTGCTGCTTTCCATCTCATCCAGACTGATATTTCCATCGTCTGTTAGCCAGGCAATTTCCTCGTCCACATATTCGACTTCTGGCCTTTCCAAATGACTGTTCTCCTCCCCTCTCAAAGACTCAGCAGCCAAGTACTCAGCCACATTTTGTTCTACCATTTCCAACCATCTGGAATCATCTTCCTCCGATTCAGAGTTGTATGCGGCTGCCCAAACGCCGTCATCGTCGCTATCTGCAGCAGTATTTGCAGAAGCCTTCCCTTTGCCTTTCTGCCTCGGACCCTGCCCTTCCTTTCCTCCTCCTTTCGCCCAGCAATCTGCGCTGATATGTCCCTTCTTGTGGCAGTTATAACACTCCACATTGGACTTCTTTCCCTTTCCTTTCCGGCCACCTTTAGACGAGCTTGCATTCACATTAAATGCGACTTCTTTCGCCTCTTTGGTCCGGGTTTTTAGGGCACGTCGGTCAGCCTCATCGCCAATACCACGAAGGTAAGTGTCTGGGTCGAGAGTTTTATTGAGGAGAGCAGACGTTGCTGTTAACGCTGCTAGATATGGGTCGTACGAGGGTGGCAACGATCCTAGGAGTATTGCAACGAAGTTTTCATCTCCTGGATCTGCTCCCATTGCAATGAGATCCTCGCGCAAGGATTGGAGCGTTGTTAGGTGAGCCTTGACGTCTCCATTCTCTGCGCAACGCTCGTCTTGGAGCTTGCGGCGTAAATCCACCGTCATCATCTTTGATTTCTTCTCGAATTCATCCTTCACCTTCCCCCACATCTTCCCTGCTGTTGCCTCTCCCTTGACCTTCAAGAAAAGGGAATCTGGAATCGTCGATGCGATTCCCTGCTTTACTATTGCTTCTTCCGATTTCCACAGCCTCACCACCCCTGGGTGACGAACTATAGATGCAGTCTCCTCCGTTGTAGGATTCTGTGGATCTGCAGGGACTGGTGGATCCGGTGCCTTGTGATCCTTGTCCAAATGGTCTCCAAGGCCAGCAGCTTCAGCAGCAAATACCAGGCGATCTCGGTAGAAGATCCAGTTCGTTCCATCGGCCTTGCAGTGTGGTAGACGGACGAAATACTCGCCGAGTTTGCTATTAGCAGCAGACATGATTGGGGATGGTAGCTCGAGGTTTTGTGTTTAGATAGGATGTAATAAACGACCAGCGTTTATCAGTGAGACGAGATGATACTAGGTGTGCTTCGATGGATTTTTAGGTACGGTCGGGGCCCATAACCTATTGAAATCCTTAGTATAGCGGGCACTTGAGCACAAGTATAGTGAATGAAGATGTTATTCTATGTACCAAAATACAGTCCTATTTAAATAAAACTGCATAGTCTAATGCATAGGTAAGTATCATAGGAACATAAGTATCTAAGGAATAATTGCTATGAGTACAAACGAAGCTGTACTCAAGAGTACGAGTGAGTACAACACAGCTTGAACCTAGTTACCATATCGGGACGCCAATCCATCAATCCATCAAGTCAGCTTCGTACTGACTTTCAGCTTGTATTCCAACACACGCATCTGCTCATGTCCGATGACAGTGAAGTCTCAAGCTTTCCAGCCAATTGTGGTCAGAATCGCTGGTCGAGGTGTTGCCTGGGCAGAAGGCGAAGAACACAAGTTCCAGCGCAGACTACTAATACCTGCCTTTACGTGTGTTACTCTCTCTCTTCCTTTGTTTATTCATGTTGGCGAATGCACTGGCTTAGACCCTCTGCAGTCCAGAGAATGTTGGACGACGTTATGCTATGCGCTGAAAAAGTACAGATCAGTTTATTTTTCGGGACCAGGACTGTTCTCAGATTCTCTGGAGTGTGCATCTAGATTGGCGAGCGAAGTTGATGCTCAAGGCCACCCAGGAATAGTAAACCTTAGTTTGTACATCCCGCCATGCATGTGCGTCTTGTATATCTTTCTATCTTCCTTGGCTTATTCGAAGTTATTCTTTAGGCTCGAGATGATATGTCGAGTAGGCTTCGGACGTGATTTCGGACATGAATCCCCAGATGCACAGGCTATCCTTGCATCCTGGCGCCAAGATGTGCAGAAAATTTCTACGTTGTCGGTTTTCTTGGCACCGATATTGATTGGGATGTTTCCCTGGATTGTAAAGCTTCCGATAGCTTCTTTACAAGAAGACGGCATCGCGAAGAAGGTAATTGAACGAGTCACTGGAGACCTACTGAAACAGCCTTCGAGTCCTGATGGTAGTGATATTCTCTCTATCCTTTTGAGGGAATCGTGGAACGGAAAGAATGGTTCGAGTGCGAAATTATCCAGTCAGCAGTTGTTGGACAATGTTGGTCAATTACTGATTGCTCCACATCATATTCTAACCCCGTCTCACAGATTACAACTGTTGTGTAAGAATTTATCTTGGTCTGTAATACCCACAAGGCTGACACACTCATTTTTCAGGATGGCCGGTTTCGAAGCCTCGTCGGAAAATGTAATGTTCACGCTGCTGGACCTAGCAAGGAATATAAAGGTCCAGACTAAACTTCGAGAAGAGCTGGCAGGCATCGAACTCAACTCAAAGAGCATCGAAAATCTCCCTTACCTTGATGCTGTTGCACGCGAAAGGTCCGCCCTCCTTTTCCAACCTTTACAGTGACTGACGTGGACATTTGCAGCCTCCGGTTAAATCCTTACGCTGCAGAAACTTTTCGCACAGCGAAGTGCGATGATATTATCCCTTTGCACCGTCCCGTCACACTTCAAAATGGCAAGATCATTACTGTCCTTCCTGTCAAGGCCGGTGACGTACATTTGTAAACTTAGACGATTTCGAGCTCTCAATGAGATTAATTTTTTGCAGCAATTCACGATTCCGTTTACACTCTTGAACACCAATACGGCAATATGGGGTTCTAACGCTCATGAATTTATCCCTGAGCGATGGATGACACCGGATGGGGTACCAAACCCAAAGGATCTTCCGCATGGACCTTGGACTAATGTCTCCAGCTTTGGTGATGGCCCTCACACATGCATCGGATGGCGTTTAGGTGTGCTGGGACTTCTCCCGTCTTGTGAAATCCATCTTACAATTTCGTCAGCTGTGATGCAAATTAAGATCGTTCTCGCTGTTATGATCAGGAGATTCGAGTTCAAAGATTCGGGTGTCAAGATCCATAAGATGTTGTCGCCTTCGCTTCAGCCATTCATCAATGGTGAGGCTGCAACGCTTCCGTTACACATTTCTCTCGTTCATCCACATATGGAGTAAAATTTCTTCATTTTGTATACAAAGCGGTGTTGCCACCGTGTTCGAGCAAGTTCTTCCAGGAATAACGTCAAACAATGAAAGAAAACCTTCAATGGTGTTGACTACTATCCTTTCCATCCTCGTGCTGCTCATAGTGGATTTAGTTAACGTCAAAGCGCAACCCCCGCCAGTTTTGACTGGCACGGCAAATAGCGGAAAACACTGACATTCTACTTCCCCGGTTCTATGCCTGCGGCACATATTGCATCGCAAGAACTGTGTATCTGTTACGTCTCCATTCAACTGATCTGCCTTCTTTAGGGCATAGAAGTACTGTTAGCATCTACGCTAATCCCATTGGTCCTTTCCTTCAGTGACGGCCATGAGTACCATTCTTTCTACGGGCATTGCTCTTCTCGCTGCTACTTTCCTTCTTCGACGAATTTTTCAAAGCCGTTCGGTAGTTTCTAAACGTCCCGTCGCAGTGAGTCAACGGTTTCACTAGAAATATGTGCATACAACCTGATCTAACTCCCTTCTATCTCAGCCCGCTGAGGAGGATGTAGTACTTGAACCAATGGTTCTCACCCAAGATCTCACCAGCCGTCATTTAGAATGCATATGCCTATTGTTTGCGTGTTTTTTAAGCTTTAAGTCTCCGACGTTCACTTGCTTAACGGCAGTAAACTCTCAAGCCCTTGAGCCATTAGTGGTCAAATATGTTGGTCGAGGTGTCGCTTGGGCAGAAGGCGAAGAACATAAGTTCCAGCGCAGGCTCTTAGTACCTGCCTTCACGCAAGTCGTTGTCACTTCTACTACGATTGCTTATGCAATTATATAATGCAGGTTTTCCGCCGTCAAAGGAATGACTGACAATGTTTTACAATGTCCTGAAAGGTTTATCTCGCTCTTTTCGAGGTGGACGACGTATTGAATGTGATTTGAAAAGTGTCTCTAGATTGGCAAGCGAACTTCAAGATCACGAAGGTGTCAATGCAGGGGTGTTCAATCTCAGTTTATACATACCAGCGTGCTCTTACGTCCCCTGATCCAACCCCTAGGCACTTAACTCGTTTTCCCTAGGCTTGAGACCATATACCGAGTTGGTTTTGGACGTGACTTTGGCTTTGAAGATTCAGACGTACAGGCTATCCTTGGATCATGGCGTGAAGATATTCAGAAAGCCACCGCATTCCCTGCCTTCCTGGCGCTTAGATTAATTGGCATGTTTCCCTGGATCTCAAAGCTCCCGATTGCGGTTTTCCAAGAGGATGGACTCGCAAAGAAAGTTCTCCGACGAGTTTCTGCAGACTTATTGAAGCAGCCCTAGAATCCTAATGGACAAGACATCTTCTCCATCCTTGTGAGGGAATCAGTGGGAGGCAGAGCAGATATAGGATTGAAGCTATCTAATCAACAGCTAATTGACAATGTTAGCCAATTTCTACTGCTTGGCTGTGCCTCAGTTGTGCATTCTGCCGGTTCTGATATTTTTGGTCCTGGTTATGGAGACCGGTGGAGGGAATAGAGCAAGGGGCTGTTTATGCACTTGCACTCTTGTCGTCAGCAGGAGTCTCTGATGAGTGTCCCCTGAAGGATGCGGTAACGTGGCCGAGTGGTCTAAGGCGCTGGAATTAGGTAATGTCGTTTGATTCAGTAATACTGATTGCGTAATCCAGTCCTCCGGGGCGTGAGTTCGAACCTCACCGTTATCATTTTCTTTTTCCTCTTCAAAGAAGACTCGAAACTTTGAACTTGACGTTTAAATTTTGCCAGTCTGCGACAACTAGAAATTGGGCGGCGTCTGAACTTTGAAGTTAAAGTCGAAGCATCGTAGTGCACACTTCACAATGAGGCTGTGCATAGGCCGTAATGCACTATCCGTTTATTGCAGAGCCGTCGCCCCGCCTCGAATCTTTAAATTTCGTCATATATACATTCGGATAATTCAGTTGTAAATAGCATTTATATATAGACAACAGTCTAACTTGACATATGCCTATAATAGTATTTGTTCTACCCAAGTATCTGTCACAGGAAATTGACATGAGGTAAATAAATCCCTTCGGCGAAGGCTCTAAGAAGGTAAGTTACCGAGAACCGAAGGATTCGCCCGCAGCCCCAGTTCGCGTTGTAGAGCAAGGTGAGGTTCATATGATATTACTTATTTCTGTTAAATCCGCGGTTGTGTTCCCATAATGAGTATCGTGCCCTTTCTTACCAATAGGTGACGCGTAGTAGCGTTTTCGTGCGTGGTACGTATTCGGCATACCAGATAGGCACAGGTGGTAGTGAGCCAGTCTTCAGTGTACTATTAATCCAAACATAGTGAATGCGACATGCCTATCGGAAATGCTATATACCTGAAATTGTGTCGAAACGACGTAATTGATTAACGAGATGTGTAGATTAATGATTACGCTTATAAGTGAATTAGGTTTTGTATGTCGCTGAGACTACAGATTCATGATCCGTCTCATTGGACGGTTTTGAGTCCGCATGCTGTATTTCGACATCATCGTTGTGCGTGTCGATGACTGTCTCCAGCCTGATCTCCAAATTGGAAGAAACGGCTGCCCCAGGAGGGTTCGTGACATCAGTCGAATCTTGCCATCGTATAGCGCTGCTGATTACTGCTCCCGTACTGGTATCACCGTGAGCTTGACCTTGACTGACGCGAATGATGATCATGGAAAACTAAAGAACTCTATGTTAATTGGGGTTGATGCTAAGCCAAGGACACGTACAACGATGCCGATAACGGCAGATTGTATGTCAAAGAACACATAGTAAACAAAACTCCCTAAACCCAGGGTGATAATAAGGCAAATGAGTAGGACGGTGTACACAGCAGCTAATAGAGCGACTGTTAATACGGCATGGAGACACTATTTTCGACTGACCAGACTCTACAATGAGCGCTATAACACCGGCCAATGGATCTGGGCCTAGTCTTGTCCTAGACACATTGCGACGTACGATCCAAATACGGTACGAAATGAGAGCTGTTCAGCGAGGCGAGCTTCAGAAATGGCACGACGTGTCGACTGAAGATACTTACCGGTGCATACGACGTTGACAGCCAGTGTCATAGTACCGAAGGCACTGTTGGCATTGAGCTGCCGGTGAAGCATTGTTGTGGATCTTGCCAGGATGACTAGCACGTAAATGCCAGTTCCTGCCAATGCCGTTTGAATGGATACATCACGACAAACGGTACTCCTTACTTACCGGCATCTGCAGCGAAGAGCAACAGAGGAACAAGGATTACAGTACACTTGTTCATCCAAACGATGAACGTGCGATAGATCTGTTTCGTGAGTATCAGCCTCCCAAAAAAAAATTTGATCTTACAAGGAAGGCATCAGCTACAAGAATGGTCAGAACCCATGCCGAATTCTCAACAAGGCTCCAGCTCGACCAAAGCGGGTGTAAGTTGATTGTGCCATCCGGTTCTTGATGCGTTATACCATACAGAGTGCGGACAATAGTTGTCATGCAGCGCTGAAACATCTCCATTTAGTCGTTGACAGAAGCCTACTGGACAGGAACAAACCAGATTTATGAGAAGAAACAAGGTGATATGAGTGCCCAAGAGGTACATATGCAGTTGTTTCGTTTTGTGGCGGTGATACATAACAAGGCTGCAATGGTAAGCGATCACTATATACGCTCCTGTAGAAGATGTTCAGTGCAGGACGCCAGGGTAAGGATAAACAAGCATACCATACAGAAACGTCGAAATATAGGCTCCAACAAAGGCCGATTCGGTGGCTTTAGCCATCATTCATCGAACAGCAACATATACCAGAATGAGGGTCCCGCGTGTCTTTGAATGCCCATTACGCCCATGTCTCAGCTCAGAAAAGATTCCGCGGAAGTATAAACACGATATTCGTCAAGGAATTTAACCTTAACCATATGTCCCACACGAGTACAAGCCTGAGGACCGACGATGAAAGACAATGTGAGTGGGAGAAACTATCTGCGAACCTCGAAAGGGTTTGCCACCGCGATATACCACCCCGCCCCATCATGTTTCCTTGAGAAATAGTGCCCAACAAAAGAAGACAGCGTGCGCCCACCGTCATCTTTAGCTACATCATATCCTTCTATTATGTTACAATTGTTATTTACATGAACGGTCCGAAAGATAATAAGTTAGCTACGCAAACAATAGGTTATATCCTCTCGTACATGCATATGTACGCCTTGGCCTTGAGCACTTCTTCCAAGGTCGTCAATCGAACAATTGTATCACTAATATAGGCCCATTGTCTATGCGGTTTTTGAGGATTTGAATGGGCCGAGGTGGGCGTCTTCAGACTATCCTCCCCGGGACTCGAAGTTGGAAGGGCAGTATAAGCGACGTAATGGCCCCCCAACTGTAATCGCCAGTCAGTATTTCGTTTTCCGGCCACAGATATAGCTTACCATGTTACCAATATGCACCACCACCGCATACAGGCGATATAAACATCTCTCTACTTCCTTTGTGTGTGGCTTGCTCCCTCGATCAAAGAAATCCTCCTTCTTGGGCGCAAGAAAAGGAGTCAGATCCAAGATCTCGGGGAACGACACATAATCATCCAATTTCTTAAAGCCGTTTGAAAAGGATATCATCGTCGTCTTAGAGATCTGCTGGAAGCGCTTCAGATGGACAACGAGGACAGGCGGAGGTGTCGCGATGAGGTACCGCTTGTATGCGGGGCGCATGATGACGGGTTTTGGCTTTTTCTTAGTGGCGGCCTTTGGGGCAGACCCTGACTCTCCAGATGTAGCTTCGCTATCGCCGCCATCGGAACTGTCATCGGAAGCATCCAGACTTCGCCGACCATGATATTGACGGTATGTAGGCGCGGGCAGAAGAGAATCGTTTGAGGCGTATACGTCCGCCTGGGGTATATCGTTGGGAAGGGTATTGTCGCTGTCGTTAGGAAAGGATGGATCATTGGAGCTATCGTCCGAGTCTGACGGGACTGAGAGTGTGTCATCAGGTCCCGGTGGCTCCGTCGTCGCTATTGACGGAATTGGCAGTCCACCAGGGGTATGGATCCCGTTGATACTGGCAAGGGTTAGTGGGGACGGAGTATGTTTTAGACCCACGACGGACTCCGATGCAATCGTAGTAGGCAATGATACAATAGACTCTGCAGTATTGCTGAAGTCTGAATGAGAGTATAGCGGGATATTCGGACTTGATAGGGATGTTGGAAGATCGCTGGTAGATGTCTCTGAGGACGGTGTACGTGGTCTGGGCTCTTGTAGCGGCGGCGATTCACGATTGTTAAGGCTGTCGGAGTCGTCATCCCCTTCATCGCGCTTTGAACTAGGGTTGTACAGCCCATTAGCGATCTTCCAACATCGTCTGCAGCCGACCATATTCTCCCCGTCAAGGATTTCTACCGCAGTGAACATTTTTAAACAGTCCTCAATGCCTAGTAGTTGTCCTAATTTCAACCACATATGCTGCGACGTATGACTGGAATGATGATGGGAACTCGAAGATGATCCATTGAGATGATTGAGGAGAGCAAAGGGATTGGGCGGAGATTGGTACGTGACGTCCGCTAGAATCTTTCGCAGATACGCTTGCTCGGCTCGAGATGGCTTGGGAGGCTTGGGAGATTTACTTCGACTGATATCGATAAATCGAGGCATGGACGTCGTACTGGACGTCTTGGAGGATGGTGTTGCGATGACATGGAGGGGAGAGAGCGCACGGATGCGCGGTGTTTCTCGCGCGTCTGGGTTCGTCAGACGAATGGAGGATGCTTCAGAAAGGCTCGGCCTCCCTTCAGAAGACGACACGTCCTCACTGGCCGACGCAGAGGGCGTACCCGGACGTGAAAAGTCGTGACTGGAGCGTCTCTCTCTCGAACGGCTCTTGCGCTCTTTGGCGACCTTGGTTAACCCGACACTGACACTAAATCGGCGGCCCAGCTTGACCCATCCGTCATCTTTGCCTTTATCCTTCCTCTCCGGTTTCGGTAGTTCTGCAAATTCAAGTCGCTTCTCACCCTCGGAAACCGTCGGATCTTTCACTGTTTCATCATCTGCATGTGGCTCCGCAGGTGGTTCCGCTAGGGCATCCATACTTCTACGCCGAGGATCGTCAGGTATGGGAGGCTCGCCATGCTCCGGTTCCCTTGGACTTGGCGGTGCTGACGATGAGCGGTGCCCTGATGGCTTGTCCACACTGAGGTTAGACGCCGCAGGGAATACAGGAGTCAGCCGTTTCGCTAGGTTCCGTAGCCGGTCGCGTTTGCGCTCCTTTGCGTAGTCTTCGGGTTTGATACTGAGGCTGAGATCATTGAAGTCCTCATATGTCTGTGATACGTGCTTGCATTTCTGACAAACCAGAATGCTCGTAAGCTTGCCCCCGAAAATCATGTCAGGAAGAGACAGCAGCTTGTCGTCGTCATCATGCTTATGGTTGGAGGGGGTCAGCGTCCGTCTGCGGCGTCTCTTGGTCCTCTCGGGCGGCGGTGGCGGCTGCCGTTTCTTTATAGCCTGTATTCCATTTAGAAAAGTTAAAATGGAAAGGCGCATACATACATCGAGCTCCTCCATTCGCATAGCATCGAGCAGAATTCGCATAAATTCGTGCGCGTCTTGCTGCGCAAAATCAAGGTATTGGTCGTATTTCCGGCCGAGCACGCTGAGAAGTGCCCTTCGCAATTCACAGGCATCAACTTCCAGTCAGCAACATTAC